CTTGCGAATCGAGGATGAGCACGGAAAAGTGCCAACAAAATAGACAATCCAATATGCTTCATTTCATTTCTTGCCACTCGGCGCGTCGAGTCGAGTGCCACTTTTCGAAATTACTAACGCAATAACTCGCAACAGCATTGAACAACATTGAACAAGATTTTTCTATACACACAAGAGCAAAAAGGGGAGAAAAACTTACGTTCATTGATTTCTATCTGCAGATGTCGAGATTTTGTTTGAACTGCTCACACACTGATGGCCTTTCTATAGACTCGTTCAAGTGATGATTATATAACATTTTGGCGCAAATGAATTTGTCAACAGCAAAGTTTCAAGTTAAGTTCGCTCGAAACGCAGAAATCGCTGCGGGAGTTTCGGAAATTCGGAAATCAAACACAAAGACTCGTTCCAAAACCAAAGCAGTTACTTGTGGGAATTTGCCATCCACATTGATTCAATCAGTATTAATTTAGAAATTCATTTAAGGGGATTAACTCAATTTTTTAACTTTTGTTGCTTAAAAAAAGAAGTCTTATTAATTGACTAGCTTTTGTTCGCAATTCAGTTCCGGTTGTGTTTAATAAAAATGTAATTCGTTTTTACTCTCTTGTTCTAGACATAGTATGTGTCAATTCTATCAATAAGATTCGCAATTTTAATTTAAAGAAATTAATTATTTACAGAATTGCTAATAATGCACTTCAGCTTGCCATCTCGGATTCAACTATTTAACTATAACTATGATTGAATCTCAATGCCAACTTTTATCTTATAGAAAGGACTGTCTTTAGGGTTTTCTCGGCAATTTTTCAAATTTTTCTCGCCGTAAAAACCATCCATGGACTCTAACAAACATTTAAAAAAAGAATTGGCTAAATTGGTCTAGGCGTTGTTGAGTTATGCCCGTACCGACGGATTTTGCGATTAATTTTTATATTATAGATTTTACCCCCTTTGAGATATATTTTTGCAATAAAAAGTAGTCTATTTTATTCTCCTTGGTCTAAAATATCTCTATATCAAATTTTATTAAAATTGGTTCAACAGTTTTTGCGTGAAAACGTTACAAACAAACAAACTCATATTGGCATTTATAATGTAAGTTTTGATAACAAATTTTCATATAATTGGAAAAAACCTCAGGGACTTTTCTAAAAATTTTATAAATTGTAACCCCTTAAGAAATAACACCTTTGACTTAAAGCCGGGCGTAAATTCCAATAAGATGCTTTCCTCGAATAAAGCCCGAAGTTCAATCAGAGCGCCAAACCAAACTTAGTAGAAACGTGCTTCAAAGGAATCGAAGCAGCAAAAAGTCCAGAAACAGAAACCACGCTGAAAAAACAGAAAAAGTCTTTCCACTTTCGAGACATTTTCAAGACGTTTGAAGCTTTCGATTTCTATGCGCCGCTTTCATCTAATGCGCTTTAAAGTAGATTAAACTTTAATGAATGTCCATCGCTAGATTTTTCAACTCTTATCATGATTACCTGCAACATTACCGAAATTAAAATACCGCAAGGTCCAAGAATCCACGGCGAGTGTATCTAAGTGTAGTGTTGCACGCGTACACATAATGGCGACGAGAGCATTTCCGATATTCGGTTTACACGGTTAGAGGAACGCCGTGTTCGCGGTTTTCCTGCGAGGGTTGAATCGTGTGGGCGCATGCACGCTGCAAATTCCTCAAACGTTTAAATTAATTATTGATTATAGTCGAGCGCAGCCTAAATCCCCACTTTCACAACCCAAGCGCAACTTAACATGGAGAATTTATAATTTACTAAGATACACATTATGCAAAAATGTTTTGTTTGTTTTTCGTGTGTTCAGCACAACACATCATCAATTATATTTCCAAAGGCATATGATTACCACAATTCGTGGAATATTTTATAAAGATAACCATATGCGAGTGTGTTACACATCGATTTTCTTTTTTCGTTTGCATCTTTTTGCTCGTTTCGCGAGTTGTGCTCTAGTTTTGCGCTGGCAACACAAACACCTACACATATCAAAGATAATTACGTGTGCACAATCATAGGGATATTTTTATTTATATTTCGACATTCAAACAGGCAAATCAAACAAGACGGGCGCCAGCACACAAACATTGTTTGTGCATCATTCAATCATTCAACGAAATTCTGCTGAATTCAGAAAAGTTTTTTTTTCCTTGTTTGTTCGTTTGTAGAACGTGAGATAACGATCTATGACATAACAAGGAAAACGTCAAAAAGCACAACAGAAAATATGCTTTATTTAAAAACTAGAAAACTGTCCAGGTTTTGAGCAGGAATAATTGACTGAGGAAGAAAATTTTAATGACATTTGTCACCGAAATTATTGCATATATAAATTATTCTTAAAAGGATGTAAATTTTATGGACTTCGGAGCCATCTCTGTTTGAATTATTTAACTAAAACTATAATTAAATCTCCATTTAATATTCATCTCATATATTATGCCATTAGAGTTATATTTTCATTATCAAATTTAACTAAATCACTCGCTAGTTGAATCTAAAGATTACCTGAAAATTTCATCTAAATTGTTTCATTACTTTTAAAGATAATAAATTACAAACATACATTTTTATAATATACCTTCATATAAACTTTATTCGACTTTCTTTCATTTTCATAGCTTTTAAACTTAAACACAAAATGAAAACTAACTTTAATGCACGTGTTAATACTTAATAGACAATTTTGTGCCCGGCGCCTCCACCTGGCTTCAATTAAAAACTTTTCCTACAGTTAAAATTATGATTTATGTCAAGAATTTCATAAAAACCTAAAAAATGTAATGTGTAATTTTTTTGTTGTTTTCCTAAGAGTAATAAAACTTGTCTTCGAAGAATTTCCCCAAGTAAACATTCGCTTTCGATGAAGGCAAGGACACAACAACAACATTTCATCCGTAATCTATTTCTGCTTCTACTCGAGCGGAATGGCGACACGTGCGCCCACCAAAAAACGAACAACAGCAATGCCAGAGACAACAAAAACAGAGCGTATAATTAATCTCGGTTGACATTAAAGCACTCAGATGCTGGTCATGGACTTTGTTTCCTTGAAAAATGTGAGACATAATGCGTAAAGCTCGGGGGATTAGACGCCGACGTGAGTGGGTGCAGTTTGCTTGCATTTCAAACGCAGAAATAACACACAAGGTCAACAAATGTCGATTTAATTTATTTTGTTTAATTTTTATGAAAAATAAAATATGATATAAATTTTGATTGTAAATTGCAAATTAAAAGTTTTGACTTGTTTGCTTACTCTCTTGACTTTAGCAAACTTTTTTTGTGCTGTGTTATTTCGTCGAGTAATCAATGAGCGATTTCTGAAATCGCATTACTGCCCGTCGGTCGTCTATACGCGAACGAAGGTACTACAGACAGTTGTGCTTCGACTCGCATCCAATTTGCAAATAAATTGGCTCTTAATTAGCGCCGTGACGGGGCTCGCCCAGTTTCAACCTTCAGCACTTTCAAAACCAAATGATAATAAGCCGAATACGACAACATCAATCAAATATAATCACAGAACTTCGTTAAATATCATTAAATATCATATAAATTGATTTTTTAGTTTTTGTGCTCCGCCTACTTACCACACACACATTGGTTGAGTACTAAAGCTTTGAAGACACGCTTGCGCAGAGGGTTGTATTCATTTGATAACCTTTGACATTCCTGAGCGTCAAGTATGCTCAAACTAAAATGATATTTTCAAAGTGCGTCATCTCTCGGCTGGCTCTTGTTGCAAATTGCAAAATCGGTATGCACAATTCAACAACGGAATTCCGAATGGAGAATTCCAAACAACGCAAGATGTAACTCGCATTTACATTTGCGAGCATTTTCGTTCAGCTCAGCAGCAACAGTTTGTTCAAGCGCAACGCAAACAACACACCGAGCGCACAAAACGTTGCATTTTCCGCACAAACAGTACTAAAGGCCAGAGGCATGCTTTCCACGCTTAAATAATATTACGACAAGACAATTCCGGGCATACAAACTGTCAAAATGTTAAAAATAAAATTTTCCGGGGCAGCAAGGACAGGTGATTGAAATTGAATAATCCAATCCAAAAGGTGGGTTAGATGAGAGTGTACTGTACACTAGGTCCAATTATACGATTCGCCACGCGCTGCCAATCCATGTAATCCACATCCTCCAAAGAGCATCGTACCTCGCACTTGCACATCTACAAAATTTGAATAGTAACGAAGCGCAACCGCAACCCGAAAGCCATCCCGGTTTGCACTCCCAACTATTCCAACCATTCGGACTGATATGCGGCATTGTGGAATAACGGGGCAGAAACCGATAGTTTTGAAATGGCACACAGGAGATGTCAGAAATGATTTGTACTACCAACAGTGCAAAATGTCCAAAACACACATCAACCAAACATTCGTTAAAATTAAAAAATAATAATAATAAAGTTTTGGTTAACATAAAATAAAATATTGGGTCATACTGTAGAATGAAAATGTTGGTAAAGCAATTAGTATGGAATTTCCTAAATATCTAATGTTCTAATGTTGTAGTGTTCAGACTGGTGGAGAACATCGTGCTCGTTAGAGAGCACTTTAGTAAACTCCCAACATTCAGAATCTAGCTAGGTCTCGGAATGCCATAAAGACAAAGACATGGCACGCGTGCAAGATCTCGAGCTCATTTCCAGTCGACGCCAATTATTTCCAAAGCGTGCTAAATTATAATCCGATTTTCTTGCGTCGTCCCAAAATCGAGACATCAGACATTAAAATATAAAATCCCAGCGTGTCCAAAACTGGATGTCAAGTGGAAAATTGTTTAAGCACCAAAATAAAAACATGACATTAGCAATTCCGAGACGTCTCTCAAATGTGCTCACGCATAACTGAATTTATTTTATTATGCAAGACAATACCCTTCGCATTTTGTATGCAAAACTTGTATTTGAAGAAGAAACGAAGTTAAATCGAAATGAATTTTCTCTTCCAGGACATTTTCCGCTGCCATCTGTTTATTGCCTGGCGTGGATCTGCTTGGACGTGCTCTTTTGTACAGCGTCGATAATGCACCTCTGTACAATCAGTGTGGATCGTTATCTTTCATTGCGATATCCAATGAAGTTCGGTCGCAACAAATCGCGGAGGCGTGTCACGCTCAAGATCGTCTTCGTCTGGTTGCTCAGTATTGCCATGAGCCTTCCATTGAGCCTAATGTATTCCAAAGTAAGCACCTTGATGGGAAGTGATCAATATTTAATTATAACATTGATTTAATGTTTGACGAGTTGATTGGACTGGTTGATTCGATTTGTTTGCAGAATCACGACTCGGTGCTGATCGACGGCGAGTGTCAGATCCCCGACCCACTCTACAAGTTCATCGGATCTATCATTTGCTTCTACATTCCACTGATCGTCATGCTGCTGACCTACGCGTTGACCGTGCGTTTGTTGGCCGAACAACGTCAGAATCTAGGCACGCCGGATTGGTCCAGTGGCTGGATGGGTGGCCCAACTACGACAGCCTTGGGTAAGTCGAAAATTAATGACCAGAAAGAGCCGGAAACAAATTATATAGAGGAAATTGTAATTTTGTGCATCTAATAACCTACGTGACTGAAAATTACATTTCTAAATTGCTTCGATTTTTTGTTTACAGATCGTAGATGTACATGGCGTAAATTATTGAGAGTAACGCGCGCCCCAAGGGGTCCAACAACACCCCAGCATCACCATCACAGCGGGGGTGGTGGTGGCGGCGGCGGAAGCGGTGGTGTTGGTGGATGTTCGGCTGCTTCCACTGATACGGAGCTGACCACCATCGACACGCACGAACTGTGGATACAAGAAACCGACTCGCCGTGCACCATGTCCGCTTTGGGGCAATTCGGCGCTGAAATGCTCAAACTCTCGCGCGGACTTGAAGCAGCCACCACTCAAACACGACCCTTAGCCACCGCTACCCCGACGAGATGTGCGCGTTCGCCGCGTGGGAGAAAAACCGACTGCGAAAATGCCACCAACAGCAACAAGTAAGTGCGGTAAAAAAACACATAACCTCAAATATAAATTGAATAAAAATGACCTAATTTTTAATTTAAGAAAATGTGTTCAAATTACATCTGCAAACGTTGAGTTTTTTGTGTGTTGCCTTTGGACGCTTGTTAAACGCAGCGCAATTAAAAATTTATTAAAATCTCCCAGTAAGCCCCGGGGTTGTAAAGTGGTGTGCGAGCAGGCACTATACAAGCTACAAGTGCAGAGCTCAACTCATTAGGAAGCACGGCTTGCTAAACTTGATAACCGAAGAGATTATTATTAAGAAAGTAATTTCTTCACTTGGCTTTCTCAAGATTCTCATCATTTTCCGAATTATCTTCGCAATCTTCTTTTTCGGATGGTAATGCGATAGACGCACCGAAGTGAATTTAGTGTTTCACATTGAAAAATCGATTTAAGCCGTGCGGGGAATTTGAAAACATTGTCACCAAATGTTTGTCGGTCTTGTAGTTGAAAAAGTCCATTAAAGTTCGGCGTGTTCGATAGTTTTGCAACACGTGTACAAGTTTTCGAACGCATCCCACAACACCTAAAAGACTTAAAGTCCCTTCAGGAATTTTCAACACTTAACGACTTTCGACCAAATTTGCATTCAATGACGAGCGGAAACACAATTTGCGGGCGGAAATAAACGCAAAACACAAAGTTTGTTGTTTACAATTTTGAAATATTTATGGAAAACATTGTAACGCTAACAGCGTTTTTTTCATTAACGTAGAATGAAATGACGCGTGTTTTATTAGATTTTTCCGCCTTCATTTTAACAAGGATCAAGTTTACAACACGCAACGACAGAGGAGAAAAAAATACAGAAGCTCCGATGTGTGTGGGTCGAATGCCAATATAAAGTTTTCTAATTAAAAATCGTGCGCGAGGTCAAAAAAAAGCCCGATCGATATATTTACATACATTTGCATTCGCGCGGTTCATTTCATGTTCTTGTCTGTTTAGATCATCGACGGAAAAAGAAAACCATGACTTGCTTCTAGTACCGGATACTGTTTCGCCGTGGAATAAACGTAGGCGAGCATCAACTTTCCACGAGGGTGATACACGCAACTGTCAGGATGAATCACCAACGTCCCGGTGGAAATGCCGACGTGGTTCCAGCTTTCATGGATCTACAGAGGACTCCGAATCGTCATTACCATTACCTCCGCCTTGCACTTGTCCGTATTTCGGGTTTAAGAGAAGTGACAAATCCCCAACTCCAAAACCCACCGAGGTCAAGATTATCTCGAGTGAAAATAATAGTCAAATAAATACATCAGAGGATGATGCTGATGAAGATGAACGGGTCCTAATGACTTCGCCACGTCGTTGTCACACCGGAACCACTTCCCCGACTAATATCGTAGTCACCTGGGAGAGTACCCGCAGACGGGGATCTAGTTTCGGTAGTACAAGGACCTCTGCAATAGCAAACTGCAGTTCTACTAGTAATTCTACAAATAGTCCAAGGACACCACTACTCCTGCGTAGATCCGCGACTCTGAGACAGAATGGTCATGGTGGGATGAATGCCAGGGATAAGAATCCATCATCTCCTTGTTTGATTCAACGATACAGCGGGTATACCAATCATAGCAGTCATACCAGAGCAGCAACCATTCGGAGTCACCATAGTAGGAACTCCAGTGTAATATCAAGGAACTCCTCAAGACATGGACGTATCATCAGATTGGAACAAAAGGCCACCAAGGTCCTAGGAGTTGTCTTCTTCACCTTTGTAATTCTATGGGCACCATTTTTCGTACTCAACCTACTACCAGTGGTATGTGGGGAATGTGAGAGACACATCGACAACTGGGTGTTCCAATTCGTCACCTGGTTGGGTTATGCTAGTTCACTAGTAAATCCAATATTCTACACGATATTCAACAAGGTGTTCCGGCAGGCCTTCAAAAAGGTCCTCCTCTGCAGGTATCGCAATCCAAAATGGCGCCCGCATAGATGACCCGTAAGCACCAACAAGAAGCGCGTCAACGCCAACAAAACACAAACCTTTGACGTATAGCTGTAGACGAGTGCGATGGCAAAGTCGCACTCGGCGCATTTCAATAACATACAGGGTGTATCGTAAACTCGTTTGGAAATAATCTATTCATAGCAGTAATATTTAGATAGATACAGAATAAAATAGCAACCTAACAAACATATCTTCTATTAATTTTTGCTCAAAATCGGCAAAATCGCTAAGTGTACATACAGGGTGTTCCAATAACGGTGCCATATCGCATGATGCATATTATCGCACACTTTAAACCGTAAGTAAAGTAATAACTTAAACGAAAAGAGATAGATTTTTGTATTTTTTTAAACGCTGTGATTCGAATCTATATCTTCTATGTGTGATCTCTCGATGGACTCCTATAAATGTATAAATACATATTTATCTTGTACTATCGTAAATATTTCGACTGCATTTCACCTAATCATTTATTTTATAGAAGAGATTTACTTGTGATAACTAGCTCATAGTATAAATAAATTTAAAATAAATCTAATAAAGTGTTAGAAATCCGGATTTATCGTTTTAAATAACAATTTAAATTTATAAATAAAAATGGGGAAAAAGAAATGCTTCAATATGTATAATAATAACAATTAATGAAGTTGTTTATATGTACAATACCGATGTATTAAATAAATGAAATTAATTTCAACCTGGTTTGTGTTTCTGCTCGATGGTAATGAAGATGATACGTGTCGTAGTTGTGAGTTGGCGAGGAGGAAGAAAAATGGCCGCGGCCGGATGACGATGACGTCTTAACAAAACGCGCGTGGCGCTGCGGGCGTCACGTTGCCATCATAAATCAGGTTGTTCGTCCTTTTACATTTCGCAAAGCGGCTTCAACGTCGATTTGCATACCGAGCTCGAAAATGAGAAATTTGATAGCGGCTGAATTTCGGCAAACGGCAAACACAGAATGACAAGCTTTGCGCAAAACCTGCTGGATAAGTACAAGAGTGGATAACAGTAAACTATATTTTGAATTTTCGTTATAAATCTAGGACTCTGGGTCATTTGTATGAAATGCATTTTCAAGAAATTATTTTAACCTGGTTTAATTTTTTTCCATCACGCTCTCAAATCCGCCCACGACCCGTCAGTCGTCAACTAAGCCGATTATATTTTATACACACACTCACGCGTCGGATTTAAAATTCACAATATATCCAGAACCGTCTCGATGCTTTCGCTAGGCCGTCTAAGTGTACTCGTAGTGTTTTGTTTGTTAGGTTATGTTGGTGTGCGGTAGTTTTACCGCCTTGCTGCTGCTCCGCGTCGTTTGTTCAGTCGCAATTCTGAAATATCACGTGCGCGCCGTCCGTGGCTTGTCGAGCGACGCATAAAGTTCACACATTACTTTTTTATATAGCGAGTGAGGGAAAGCAAAAGAAAAATCCTTGCAATACCAACAATACCAACGTGTTCGCGGTCGAAAGAATTGGAACGGAAAACAAGCAGGAAAAGGCTTACAAAGCATAAAAAATAAAAACAAAAATAAACGCCACGGAATTAATTTCATTAAAATGATCTCGACGTTTTTAGCACGTTTAAATTTAGTGTTTTATGCAAGAATAGACAATCGTATGTGTGGTAGGTGGGTACTATACTAATCAAAATTGAAATCACTGTCGAGGCTGCGTGGTCGACATCAAAGGCGTTGGCATCAAACGGTAATGCTGAGCGTTGTCATAACGCGAAAATATGAATAACGCGTTCATAAACCTCCTGTGGATTATACTATGCGTGTATGATTGGTGGGAGTATGGTAAGTACTTACTGGAATATGCACTACACTACTGCATGTTAAAGTTGGAATCAACGAGGGACGCCTGATGCGCTGCAACTCCAAATTAGGTTTCCGGTGATTGGTTGATTGGTAAAGTTGGAATTTGATTTATAATAAGCATGAATTAACAGAGAAAAAATACGGTATCATTTTTTGTATAATTTTTTTGATGTTTTGGAATTTTAGCGACAATTGAAGACACATTTTATAAAATCTATATAAAAACAAATTCGTGTTAGTTACAGCATTTATAACTTAAGATCAGCTGGACAAATTTTGATAATTTAAAGTTTTGTAAATTTGTCTCAATCCCAAATAGCAGAATAACTATTACAATATTAAAAAATATGCTATACAAGGTGTTAAATAAAGGAGGAATATTTATGTTTCTTATTTCTTTAAAATAAAATTGCGAATCTTATTGCTAGAATCGACACATGTTAGGTCTGGAACATGTAAATAAGAGTCGCAAGTAAGAACTAGTTTTAATATATCTATAATACAAAAATTAATCTCAAAATCTGTTGGTAAGCGCATAACTTAACAAAGCCTAGAACAATTTAGCCAATTCTTTTCTTAAAATATTCGTTAAAGTCAAGGATGGTTTTTACGGCAAGAAAAATTCGAATAATTGCCGGGAAAACCCAAAGACAGCCCTTTTCTATAAGATAAAAGTTAGCATTGAGATTCAACCATAGTTATAGTTTAATAGTTGAATCCGAGATGGCGTGCTGAAGTTCATTATTGGCAATTCTTTATATAATTAATATCTTAAAAATAAACTTGCAAATTTTATTGATGGAATCGACACATGTTAGACAAAAGTTAGTTCCACAATATTTGTTAAAAATATTCTAATTGGCGCATTTGATTTGATTATACCTAAATTTTTAAGAATTTTGCAGCGGTTTCAAATATTTAAATAATTTGAATTCTAAATTCGGCAAATTGTGACTAAAATTTTAAAATGTGTAAAACTAAGAATAAAAATAAATTACCTTAGTAAACTGGCACGCGGAGCGATGCCACGATGGCACGAAGGCAATTTCAATGAGAAAACGTTTCCACCCCATTCCACCCTCGGCACTCTGATGGTGTCTGGTCAATGAAAGAGCCTTTGCGCGGCGCTCTTTTGAAAATAATATCGGAAGCGATTAATGAAACTTTAGCAATATCGCCGATTCGTGCTCAACGCACGCGCCTCCGACCATCCCCATGCACCATTTTACACCCTCCAATTTTCCTCGCGTAATATTCAGTGATTTATAATTTTAAACCAACGCAATTGCTCGCTTTCATGCTCGGCCGCGCTTTCATATTTTCTAATCTGTGCACATTTGCCATTTTGCACGCGTTTTAATGCTCGGATGCATCCCCTAATGCGACATTAGTTTTAATAAGGCGACATGGCGACATTATTATCGCGATTATCCCCCGACGAGCGAGGCGCATGGTCGAGTGGTTTTATCGCTTTCGGTGCGAGTGAAAAATTCGCAATGAAAGAACGAAAAACGGACGCGGCGACGCCGACAAGAGCGACAGTTACGTTTCATTTGTCTCGAGAATTTCCCCGAGCCCTTCAACCAGTTTCGGTGCATTTCGATCATTCATTCGCTTTTTCCACTCCAAGCGAAAATTTCACTCAGCGGGCAATAAGTTCTACTAGTCCTCTGCGTCCATTTATTTTCCTTTAGTTCTACTTTATTTTGGTCCGAAAATCAAGCACAATTGTCGTCTAAAAATGTATAATTAAATAAAATTTTCTACTTCCACCTATAAAGCGCCAGTTTATCCACGGTTTTTAGACACAAAAAGTGGTACTTTATACACGGACGGCCAAGTCGTACATAATATTCATTATGTACTTGCATTATGCACGGGACGGAGCAAGCGCCTGCGCATTTGCCTACGGAGCAGCAAAAGGCGGTATGAAATACCATGCGACGTCAGTCAAACACGTCAAAACAGGCGCTGCTGCTGCTCGTAATGGAGGGGCACGATATGAACCGAAGCGTTACATGAGCCGGCGCGCGGCATGGCACTTATAACCTTACAGTTTGTATAAATGTGCAAGCAAAATATTTAAAACACAAAAGTTGAAATACAAAAACCGCAACGTGGAACTATAGTGAAAGTGGAAAAAATAGCGTAAGCACCTCGTGGCTAAATGTTGTAATGCCCTTGTTTAGCCACTTGTTACTGAATATACTATTAAAAATTTGAATCCTATTCCCGAGTAAATTTATGCGAGTATAATATACGTGACCAGATTGACACCCCGATACAGAGTTTGATGTCGCTGATATTACTCCTCGTTTAAACGTCGCCCGCGTTCATTAATTACACGCGAAAATGGAAAATCGCATAGGACCTCGCGCCGTGTCATCGGCTCGGGCGTCAGGATCGCGTCGTACATACTAATTGCTAATAGCGGTAATGGCTGCGACAGCTCGCCGACGCTGAATAATGGCGTTCACACACTCTTGCTTCTCCTTTGCGTCCTTGTGCTCGAGATAAAATGTTTCCAGTCTGCATTAGTTTGCACTGCATTAATTTTCACTCTGCTCGGTTAATCATCCGCGAAGTTCATCAGGATAACACTAAATTAAATTGTAGAATAAATAAATGAATATTACCTATACCAGTTTTATTTTAATGCGTAAATAAAATAAATGAAATTAAACTCGGTGGACGATGTAGTAAACGAGTAATAAACTGTACGTCGTAAACCTGCATTTCTGCATTCCGGGTGCAAGTGGAAAACGCAACTCAATTTGGTTGATAAATTCCAGCAGGAAATCGCAGACAATTTACAGTGCACATTCATTTGCAGTCGCAAACGAGAAATCCGTTTTGGGAAATATACGGGAGAGAGGCGCGCCTTAAAACCTGCAAACCCTATCCGGGGCCCGAGAAGGTAATTTACCTCTCATTGTCTGTAAATTTTCAGCCGGGACGTTTAATGCACGCAATTTTACACCAACACATAACCTCAATTCCAAGCCCAAACGCGTGCGATGACTCCATTGTCGGTGGGAAATTTACGCGGCAAATTAACGATGCAGTAAACACACCCCTATCACTGGGGGGCGGTTAATGAAGTCATAATCGTAATGCAATCACACTCGTCGTACGTTTGTTCACACACTGATATAGATATATCTTTTGCTTGCGGTTGTGTGCATGGTTGGTTGCGTGCAGTGCGCATCAATCAAAGCTCAATGTGCATTTCAATACGCAATAATAATTATAATCACAAATACGTGGGTATGTATCAATTCGCAATGAGTAGCATTCAGGCCGGGGCGGCAACCCAGGTGAATGCCGATGTGATGTCCTGGAGGCGCAGGAGGACTAGCGCCTACGCGCAGATTTCCCATCAGGCGTCCCCGCGATATCGAATTTCCCTGGAGGTGGATATTATGTTAATAATTCAATTTGGTTCTTCAACAAAAATTTTAATAATCTGTATCAATATACAGCAAATTAAAAAAAAAGAATAAAAATAGAATTTCGTAGAAAACTTGTTTAAAAATATAAATTCTTGAGTTTTTTAAAGCTTTTTAACTTTCCGTCACCATCTGGCATTTACTGCGCACTTATCTTACACTAGACTGAACTCTGCAACACATTTTTAATCTTTTCGCTGTTTTATTTCACGATTGTAGTTTCCACTTGCAATTTTTTTTCTCTGTGTTCTGAAAATATTCGCAAAAGTAAAATCGACTATAAAATGTCATTAATTAAAAGACTTGTTTATTGTTTGAA